TGGGATTTGTGGGTAGTATAGTAGTTAGAACTGCAGAAGCAAAAAATGGTGAACCAAGTTCAAATTCCAGTTAGGTTCATTAGTCTTGGGAAAGGTATGGATACATCTCTTCTCACACAAGCTATCAGTTAAATTACAGGGTTGACTAGGCTCTCTTACCTTAAGGTAACAACCAGTCTAGAGGGAAAACTATAAATTATGAATACAAATCCATGCTGAAGAGGGATAGACTCCGTCAGGTTATCTTGCCTTAGACAAACCACTGCTGTTAGGGCTGTGATACATATGGTACCTCTGTGTATCACCTTAATGGGTTACAGGATTCATGGTGTGATATGACATTATAGATTGACCATTCCTGGGATAACTGAAGCAACAAAAAAAAAAAGAAAAGAAAAATAAATTATTTTGTAATTCTTATTAATAAATTTTTATGTATTAAGATTTGAGGGTTACCCCACTTGGCTTTGCCAAATGCTCATTAGGTACCACTGTTTAAGTCTATAAAAGACAAACATTTCCTTTCTTTCTCCTTCTTGCTTCCAGATATATTAGCATGTGGGTAAGGTATACCAACTGGGATGCATTAATTTCCTTGGTCCACTGACACCTGTACTCTCACACACATGCACATGCACACACATGTGCATTACACACTTTTGTATCACACACACACACAAACAAGCACATTGTTAAGTTTTTATATCTTTTCCTTTACTTTCAATTGTGTACTCATTAATATAATTTCTTTTGTTAATACATACATTTAATGGTCATTTGTTTAAATTCCATGTTTTTGTGACTTAATTTTTACCCAGACTCACATGAGTCTGCCAAATATTGTTTGTGGGACTCGTATTCCAGGAGCCATTAAATATTACTGAAAAACATACACACCTCACAAGTAAAATAATAACTCCCACAACAGATTAAAATAAGGGAAGCCAATTTTTAGAAGCTCTGTATTTAATAGTGTGCTTCCATGTTATTCCTCAAAGAAAGACATGAATTTTACTCTGAGTGAAATGACACGTAAATGACCGACAAAGATTTTTTATCTTATCATTCAATGAAATAAAGATAAGAAAAGAAGAATTAGTAAACAAAAGGTAAGAGTAACAATTTGCTGCATTTTCTCACAGTCTGGACAACAGCTGTGGCATCATGAGGTGATAAATGCACTCAAATTGTTCCTACATTTAAAATGGCTTTGCAACAATGCAGATGTTGGCCTCTTTTCATGCAGTTTAATTTGTCAACTTACAAATTAAGATTTTTATTTTTAGCTTTTTCTCTTGCACAAAAAACATATTTCTTATGTCTGAAATGTAAAATTTTACATTGTTTTGTATTCAGGGCTGAATATAGCAAATATGGTTTGCCTGATGACCATTCCTGAATTTCATTCCTTCAGTCCAAAGATATAAAGGCCTGCTCTGGTGGCTGAGGTAGTTGTATATTATTAACTGGTTTAAATAGTCGGTGTTCAGTCCCAGATTAAATACAATATTTCTAAAGCTGATTTTGAAAAACACTTTGAAGGTTGGTGAAACACAATCTTCCCAGATCCATTTTTCCACATGAATTTTTGTTCTATACAAAATTAATTTTAGTACATGTGGTCTGTCCATCCATTTTGAATATCACAAGAACTGGTTATGCAGCCTCAATGTAACTTGGAAATCAATCAGAGGGAAACATATTGCAAATTTATGAACAGACACTCTTCTATAGGGTTATTCAGTCAGCAATGAGAAGTCATTGAGTGAATTTGTATAGTTTATAACCCTCACATTCACAATGACCAAGTAGATTGGGGAGTGGCAGGCATCTCATGCAGGGTTTCCTGGTAAAAATGCACATCACCCAGGTTGGTCAGCTACATGAGAGTCTTGATTTGGCTCCCTGTGATTTCTTGATTCTTCCAGATTTAAAATAGCCATTGAAATGCCATGGACAGATTAAAGAGAACATGAAAAGAAAGTTAATGGCCACTCAAAAGAGAGCTTTGCTGGTTATTTTCTAAATCAGATGTTACATTGGTTTCTGGTGAGTGAGATCACAAGAGGAATATTTTGAAAAAGACTAAAACACATTTATGTAGGTGTGGCTTTCTGCATCATTAATATTAGATGCATAGATAAGTTTCCAGCCACACACACACACACACACACATACACACACGTGTGTGTTTTTTAGGATTTATAATAGTATCCAAGATGATGAGACAAAGAGGAAAAAACTTACAAACAAGACATTTCACTGACATCTGTTGGGCTTGGCTTCTTCAATTGGTTTGTTTTGTTTTATGGCATATTGACCTCAATGAGTTATTTAATGCCAACAAAATTTTTATTGTTGTAATATTTTTTTTTGAAAAATCTATTTCCGGTAATATTTCTTCTAAAAAGAATCTATTTCTGGTAATATTTTTTCTTTAAATATGTATTGCTGGTAAATTTTTTTCAAAAAACGTATAGTTGGTAATAGTTTTTTACAAAGTATTTCTGGTATTAAACCTATTTTTAAACGTTCGTAGTGTTTTGACCCTAGTTTGGGTGTTAACTATATTCCCATAGCTGAGACCTTAACTGGGTGGACCTGGGAACACCAGCAATTAAGAGGTTGTTCCACACTCCTCAAAACCTCTCAATCAGCGGCCTTGCTGCCGGATGTAGTTTATCATTATACCCAGGATGACGGCTTCTTCAAGTCAGAATGAAAGACAAAACTGTGTGTAAGGAAAATGCATTGGTATTTTTTAGGATAAAGTAGGGTGATGCAATAAATTAAATTACCTTATTCTGGTTAATGGATCTGAGAAGCTAATTTAATTTATTGCCCCTCTTATCCTCAAAAATCCCAGTGCATTTTCCTTACACACAGTCTCATTTTTTATTTTTCATTCCAAAATGAAGAGACCGAGTCCAACAGATATTCGGGAAAGTAATCGTTTGTGACCTTTTTCCCTTTGTCGCTTCATCTCTCTTTCTGTGTGTGTGTGTGTGTGTATATATATATATATATATATATATATATATATAACTGAATGGATAAATATAGGTAGATGTATGAGTGTATACAAATACATATACATACTCTATAGTGCAAGAAAAAATGTAAGTGCTCAATGTTAACAGAGTTATTTAATATATATATTAAGGAATATACAAAATACTTTACATTGATTTCACAACTCTGAGTTTCATGCTGAAGCAATTATCAAGTACTTGTATTTTGTATATTCCTTAATATATATTATCATTTCACCCCAAGTAAGGGGTTATTGAGTGTTAAAGCATATGAGAAAAAGAATCACACTATTAAGAGACAACAATAAAAGAAAAGGAATTAAGAAAACAGAAGATAATGATTGACATTGCATTTAAATTTCTGAAGATCAAAATCGACTGAAAAGCGAGAAGCCAGAAGAGAGTCCCACAAGTGAGAAGTGTGAGAGAAAAAACTTTTAGTATAGAACTTACAATTACATCTTGCAATTACAAGCTGAATATAAAGGTATTGTAAGGTGCTAAATGCTAAAGTTAGAAAATCTGTCTAAAAACTCTTTAGAATCTGTCTATATTTCTGAGATGAGGTATCATGTACACTATTTACATTATTTGAATTATTGTCCTTATCTTTGTCGTCATATTTATTACAACGTACGCTCCGGCCTTCTTCAGGTGGTTGGAATGTTGAACTGAACCCTTTATTTTGCTCACTGGGGTAGACTGTTCTAGTTCCACTTGCCATGTTTAATGGATGTCAGTTATCATTATCTCCTGTTAATTCCACTCTCTAAGTTCTCCACTGCCTTAACAGGATATTGAACTCACACTCTTTGGGTCCTGTCACTGGATCTAACCAACGCTTTTATCCACTGTGCCATATGTCCTTTAGAGTCAAGAAAATTTTTAATCAAGTTGCATCCAATTAGCATTATCAGTATAAATGTGACTAGGAATCCCATAAATGTTATAAAATTTTATGAAGGCTAGCACTCGAATATTCATTTCTTTAATATGTTCAACATGAATTGCTTTTACATTCATACAGGTGAAGATTGAAATATACATCTTATTTCCACCCTTAGTTCCACCAATGTGTGTGTGTGTGCATGTGTATGTGTGTGTGCATGTGTATGTGTGTGTGCGTGTGTATGTGTGTGTATGTATCTGCTTATAAACTGAAATAGTTGTATATTTCTTATCAGCATAAGTTGTTAATTTTTTTAGTTCAGTTAAATTTAGAATGCAAATTAGGTCATAATTTTTGAGTTCAGTTTGATTTAGAATGCATATTTTTAAGACAAGCTCACCCTCTCTGTCTAAAATCTTGGCAGTACACAATCTTCTTATTCTCCCTGAACAGTCTTGTACTGAACTAAATTAGGTTTAATCACTATCAAGTTCAAAGGACACTGCTCCTCTTCAGAATAATTTATTGACCAAGACATAAAAAATCTGAAAACAAATCTTATCACTTGTCTTTCATATCAGTGAATATCTTAAAACTGTCAATAGTTTTCTTCAAAAGAAATACATTGAATTGAAGATAACATCTGACTGGATATTTGAATTACATTTATTTACCTGTTTACTTTCAATGTAAAAAAAATGTTGGCAATATTTAAGTAGTCTTGCAGTTGAATTGATTATATTTCTGCATGAATAATCTCAGTGTTAATATTGTTTGGCCGTAGAATAGTTCTAGCATTAGGCCATCAGTTGACTATAAAAGAGACAACCATATTGGATTTAGTCTTATTTACATTATTCGGTCTTGTTGATTTGCATGTCTTTGTTGTCTTTTGCTTAAAGGACAAATTTATTTCTATATGAGACTATGCTCGGATTTTTTTCTATAGACTTAGTGAATGTTTTAATCAATTTGGGTTGACATTTTGTTTTACAACAGCAACATAGGATGGTTTTTTTCTTTTTTCTTTCTTTCTCTCATGGTTGACGTGGAGGTGTGAAAGGCTTCAGAAACTTTGTCTAGTCTAGAGCCTTGAAAAAAAGGTTTCCAAATGAAAAGATAAAGAAAAAAAGAGGAAAGGAAAAAAAAAGAAGAAACTTAAACAACGAAAAAGAAAATGAAAAAAAAAGATGAGGAAAAAAGAAAACTGAAAAAGAAGGGAATGAAAAAGGTAAAATAATATGGATGACCGAAAGTAACAGCAACTGAGAAAACCAACTGAGGGCCGGGACTCTTCTCTTAAGAATAACTTCTCCATGTATTATACATGTCATGGGATTTGTGCAAACATTGCACAAATTTAGTAAGTTGGGTTGATAATTGATCTGCCTGAAGTGTAAGACATTGGGAAAAAATTTTATTTGTTTTATGATTGTCACAAATGTCTACAAAAGACCATGCAATAAAATTGATGTTTAATTTGGGAGTGTAAAGGTCTCACGATACATAAAAAGTACAATTTTTGCCATGCGTGACATAATGTTTCATACTGTTGAAGATTGTCTGGCACTGAGCAGAAAGATCTTGAAACAAAAGAGAGTATATTCCATGTGAATAATAAGATCAGATAAGGAACAGTGTGGTCGTATACAAGGTTTTCTCATGTAAGGAAACTCTTTTGGGCAGAATTCTCTCCGATTCAGGGTAACTGGTATACAGAATTGATGATCAAGCCACATTGATCAATTTAGATCAGTCAAAGTCTTTTTTGGGTGGCTATCTTGTCTGCAGCCACATTCATGTATAGTGCACATCACCACAATTATTTATCTTTGACTAGGAATGACGTGGAAAAGGACAAGCAAAGACGCTGGCAGTTACCAAACATGTAGCCATCACAATGCAATTTATATTTGACATAAAATATCACATAGTATAAAATACAAGACAGAACATAACGGTTCAAAACATAACAATTGAATTTATTAGTGTTGATGTACATGCATATAAGCTGAAGGTTTGAATGAGTTATGTCTCTTAGATTTGGAAATATTTGTACTGGAGCTCATAAAGATGAAGTAATTATTAAACTGAAGTTTTAGAAGAATAAAATTTCTGTTGCATGTTAGGAAATATGAATTGGTAAAGTTGGTAAGAGTTCAGAAGAGTTAAGAGTTTGTATTTGTATGAATTGGTAATGTTCTTTAATGTCTGACTGCACAGTCAAGACGGGAGCTCTTGAAGATTACATCTTGGCAGCAAGGAATAAGACGAATGAAAAGAAAACAGAGAGAGCTTACATGTGTTTTGTTTATATAAGTTGGTGTATCACGTGACTGGCTCAAACCTTAATGAGTGGGAAATTTCATTCCTCGTGTGCAGGATTTCTGATTGGTCGGAATTGACCAATCAGCGAGCTAGTTTTGAGGAGATTAACCAATGAATGCTTGTCACATGAGTTGTATGATGGTGATGATAATTACCACACATGTATATACCTGTCAATATTTATCTGACACAGAGAAACTATAGCACATATAAGTAAAAAAACAAGCAGTAAAATTTCCATGTCCTCTCCCCTTCATGTGCATGAGTAGTTAAATCAACGCAAACATCACTTTAGTCTAATGAAGTCCTAAAGAATGAAATGTGTTAGACCAAATTTTTTTTCCACTTTGTCATTAATCTTCCTGACATTGTTCTGATATATAAAAACTTATATATCATTTCTCCCATATTAAATGATGTGAAAAGAGATGAATGAGGTTCATATTCAATGCTACCTCTATATTTTTGTTAAGAGATGACATTAAAATGAAAAATATTTTCAATCTTGTTGAAAATAAAACTCTTCCCTTTTATTAAATAACCAAAATCCCCAAAGACAATTTATATCTGAAGTATGAGTATGTAGGAAGGGGGCTACCCTAGATATTTTCAGATATAATAATCATTATTCCACTTTAATTATGAACTTTTATTGAATTTTATATCTGTTACCAATTTTTTGAGTTTTATTTTTGCTGAGTTCTCCTTTATTCCTTATTGAATTTTTATTATATTTTTCCAATAAACAAAGGCCATTCTTTAGACTTTTGACATGATCCACCCAATGCAGTGATGTCATTACAAAAGTATTTGTGTGAAATATCAAAAGTGATTGTCACTCATTCCTGACATCCAGCCATCTTTGTTATTATGACATCAGCAATAATTTCTCTGTTCTTCAATGGCCTTTTCATAATGTTTGCATGGGAGTGACTCGAAACATAGAACAAGTAAAAAGTTCACAAGAGCATGAAAATAATTTGAAAACAATCAAAAAAAAAGATTTCTGTAAATAATATTAGAGTGTATCAGATGTATTTTCATTTTTTACAGATTTTTATTCTAATTTTTATTTCAGATTAGATACATTTCAAACGACAATCTATCATTTCTTTTATTATTATTATTTGTAGAAGAAGCATGCAGGATTAAGTGTAATTGACAAAATTCTCACTAACAATAAGAAGAAGAATGTTACAAAATAATATGAGAAAAGACAATGTCATGCAAGGTAAAACAAAGCAACTATAAAACAGTAACAAAGTAAAAATGTCACAAAATAGAAATAGTGTTAGCATGCAAAAGGGATACAGTCACGTGGTTATACAAATGTAAGGGAGTTATAACTGAGTAAATAATTATGAAAAACCCTAACATTTATATATACAAAAATACTCTTAAAAATGAGTATTATTTATTATCTGGTTGTTGGAGAAATGAAAAACAGTAATACTGAGTAAAATTTCAAGTTTGGGATCAAATGTAGATGAAATATGGATTGGAATCCAACAGAATAACAAGATAAAGAATAAGTAAAATGTATACAGTCTATCTTGTATGATTTTTTTATAGATGGATGTAATGAGTGTCTAGATAATTCAGTTGGAAAATTACAAGAAGTATTTGGGGTTTTCTTACCTAGATTTTTGTTGAGTGCTAAATGATAAATGCTACTCTTATGGCCTGAAAAAGGAAAAGGAGATGAAATTTTTGTTGACACACATGTTAATGACCTGTCTGTGTGAACTGCTTGTTCGATGGTGAGAATGTCATGTGTTTGTGTGTGTAGAGGAGAAAAGTGGGGTCAATTCTCATTGGTTTAAAATGAGTGAATTAATTATAATTATTTTATTATAATTATTTTTGACACTATAATTATTTTTTATTCATTTTTTATGGACACAACATCATGATAGTATAATTATTTTTTATTTATGCATTTCTTTATGAACACAACACAACACAAGGCAAAGCAAAGCAACTATAACACAGTATCAAAGTAAAACATCACAAAATAGAAATAATGTTCACATGCAAAAGGTCAAGTCAAGTGGTTATAGCCTTTCTGACTTCAAGGTAACAAAGAAAAAATGTGTTGGCAAGACTGAGAATTGTCTATCTTTATTGGCTAGGAAGAAATCCCAGCATGCATCTGTAGGATTTGTCTATAAATTTGGGGAGGGGGAACTTTTAGTAAACAATCTTGAAATTGCAACCAACATTAGTATTATTGGTGAGAGAGCAGCATGCTAGCAATGTGATACTGAGAGTACAAATATACAAAGCCCAATATACACAACTTGACATTCAATCTGAATACCAAACATATGCATCTAAGACAAAATGTGAATGATATGGTGATAGGTTTTGATAAAAGCAGCTCATAACCAGTTAGAAATACTTCCAGGTTGGGTAACCGAATCCACTTAGATGGTCTTCCCAAGTATCTTGATGTGACTCCCATTTTGCTTTGGCTGTCTCATCTTTCAAAAAACAACCCTCTCAACATCCAACCATGATACTTCCTACTAATATTATTTCCTTTGAGTTTTGTTGTATATACATTTCCTTCCAGGTCCCAACCAGAGACCTAAGGTCAGAAATGGCTCCATGACATTTTTGACTGATCATTTTTGTAAAATAAAAAAAAAACCCAACAAATTAAGATCACACACATTTTACATAGATAAAGCTCTTTTTAATGTGTGTTCTGTACTTGTGAGTACAATTGTTTGTATTTTTTTAAGGCATGGACTACTAGGGTTCCCTACAATGAGTCTATCAGAATCTTTTCCAATCAATCCAATCGCTCCAACTACAAATGGAATTATTGGTGCCACATTTTTTAGTTTTTCACTTCAAGATCCTTGTATTTTGATAGTTTTTTGATGATCTTCAGAGATACATTACAATCTGCAGGGACTGCCATGTCAATAAGAAAGCACATTCTGTTCTTGTGGTCTTTGATCACAATACCTGGGTAATTAGCTTTGAGTATTCTGTTTGTGTGTATCATAAAGTCCCATAAAATTGTTACACATCCTATCTCTATAACCAGGTCTGTGTGATATTATTATTATTATTATTGGTGTATTTCAACATTGTTTTCATTTTTTTTAAAACATCTCCCAAAGTTTATTTCATGTTTCATGGACTCTATGACTTCATCATCATCATTATTATTATAATAAATACTATTCAACTGTACATATTTTTCTGGTGTTAAAATGACAGATACAAATATTAAAATTCTGTCAATTTTGAGACATTACCAATAATAGTAGTAGATAGACTGCCTGGTTTGCACACCTTCCCTGTCTTTTGAACAGGAGTAGTGGTTTATCCCTTGTTTTCTATTTAGAATTGGGTTTCCAGTTCTTTCCCTTAAATCTTTTTCATTTGTTTTTGTTCCAAGTAACCTCTTGCATCTGACTAGCTCAGAAAGGGTCAGTCAGACAGGCTTGGAAAGTGTCAGTCAGACAGGCCTGGAAAAGGGGAGTCAGACAGGCCTGGAGAGGGTCAGTCAGACAGGCTTGGAAAGAGGGAGTCAGACAGGGTTGGAAAGGGGGAGTCAGACAGGGTTGGAAAGGGGGAGTCAGACAGGGTTGGAAAGAGGGAGTAAGAAAGGCTTGGAAAGGGTTACCCAGAAAGGCTTGGAAAGACTGTTATATTTTATATAGCTATAAAAATTGGCAAAAAAATTAAATACATGACTCAACACTAAAGATAAACTCGTTTGTTATGTTTTTCTTTTATTTACTTGTGACTATTTTTATGATTATTTTCATGACAATTTATACATTCAAAGCTAATCTGGGCCTTTGTTACAAAACAAAAAAAAACAATGAAACAAAATGGCAAACTAACCCAGACAACTTTTTTTCCATGTTTGCTGTAATTGAGAAGAAAATGGTTATGGTATGAAAATTAATTTTGAGAACAGCTGGTTGATAGTGCTCACATGATCAAAGAATAGAGACAGTAACCTGCTTAGCCAAGTGAAAAATAGCAAACATTTATGACTTCCCAACTTGAGAATTTTCTAGTGGATCATTTAAAAATATCCCAAAAAGAATTATCTTTGTCTTTAAGAATTATTTTTTATTACACCTTTCTTCATTTTTCTGGATTCCTTATTTATTTGCTGGGATGAAATAGTTTGGTTAACAATGAAATCTAGAACAAGAAGTCAAATTTTAGTTGCATTCCTTTTCATCATTTCTGAGATTTTTGGAAAAGGCAGGAATCCTTTCTTCTCTTTTCCTTGACAAACTCATCATATTGATGTACTTTTATTTTTCTATTATTGTTTTTAAGAAAAGACAAATGCATTTATAATTATTAACTCAGCTTAGTTTTGCATGCCCAAGGCCACAATAGTGGGACACCAAACAATAATAAAACTTACTATACTATTGAATTATTAGACACTATTTAAAATAAATGAATGACTGGTCTATCACAAGGTGACAAATAAGGTAATAGACATTACTGTATGGGCAAGTAAATTGGTTATGAGAGAATGGTTTTAAAAAATTTTTAACTGTGAGACATAGTGACATGCCAATGATGTGAACTTCTATTAAGATATTTAGTGATGAAACAGAATGCTAAATTAAATGGATTCATGACTTTAAGGCATAAAGATGAAATTAATACAGACTAATAAAGAATTTGAATCAAGTTCATTAATCTCGTTTTCTATGCTGATAACCTATTCAACACTTTTTACACTTCAGCATAAATAGAATATGGTAGAAGACAATACATTATGATAAGCAGGATGTGACAAGAATAATAATTACTATCTTATAACAAGTACACAGTATCATATATATGTGTGTGTGTGTGTTGAATAATCTGGACTTATTATTTCTACTTATTTTATTTTAATCTTCTTGAATTCTTGATGTTGATATTAAATTCATTAAGGAAGGTGCCATAGTTTTTTTTTAATTTTACATGCTTGAATGAAGATATGCTGCATATATATATATATATATATATATATATATATATATATATATATATGCTCTCGTTCACAAATTGAACAATATGGGGAAAAGGGAATTTTTAATGGCTGCTGTTGCTGCTTTAATGCATCACTCTTTGTAAGAATTGAGCACTATGGCGGCCAGTATGGCATTTATATATCACATATATAATGCGTTAATAATTCCCTTTCTCTGCCATGCACCAATTGTCTAGGGGTAAGAGTATCTGACTAATGTCAAATCAGTTGGGTTTCAATTTCAGCTTAAAGCAATCAGATATCTAGCCATGCTGATGGACTGTGATGCAGTGAAACAGTCTGTCTGTGGATCACACACACACACACACACACACACACACACGCATACATATATATATAATTTTGAACAAAAAAAAATATTAAAAAATAAAAATTTTCAGACACACTGGGTTGTATATTAACATTTTTTGTTTTATTATTTCATTTAGGTTCTAGTTTTGACTAGCATGGCCACCATCAGAAGAAAATTGTTAGTACCTGTGAACTACAGGAGTGAATAACTGTTTCTGAAGAAAGTGAACTTTATCTGTAGTTTTCATTTGTTTTGTTTTTTTTCATTAATTTTCATCAGTCCTTGTGTTGGTCAAACAGTCACTTCCAAGTTGTTTTTAAGATAGAGGATCGAAGACTCCTGACTTTAAGAATACCCTCCTTGGTCATTTTGACAGTTTTATTGGTTGCTGGGAATGGGATTCCTGTGTTAAATGTATGTTATCTTTTAGTTCTTTGGGAGTGTGTATGATGTGTGTATGTGTATATATTTGTGTGCGTGTGTGTATAAGTGTGAGACCTCAATACCTCTGCAAGCATATCTGTCTTGTGTGGGTGATAAATGTGGGTAGGGCTTGATTTATGGGGTTATATATTAATTCTATCTATGTTGTTGAATTTGTGGTTAAGCCCATCTGGACAAAGTGTTTTGAGGCACAAAATACATTTGTTTTCATGTTCCTCTAGTATTTTTCTAAGGTTATCTTTTCTGTCTATTTCTATTTTTTTAATTATAGTGAATTTTACATGGCTTTTAAAATCATGTTTTTCTAGGCGGTAATGTTGTTCCACAGGTAATAATCTTTCATGGAGAGTCAACTTGATCCGATTACGATAATTATTAATTCTGCAGTGAAAGGGCCATTCAGATTTTCCCACATATTGTTTCTGGTATAGTGTGCATTCTAATAAATAAATTATGTTATGACTTCTACAGTTAAGCAACTAAGTAGGAATTGAGTAATTCATGCTGATATGCTAAATACCACAAATATGATTAAAAAGAAAGATTTGAGATACGTTGATAAAAGCCAAATAAAAGACAAAGTCAGAACATTTCCAAAATGTCATGGCTTAAATGGTGTTCACATTCATTTGTGGTGACTACATATTGGCAGTTCTTAGAAATTTCAAATGTCTCTTCCTGATGTTATGTATAAGCGCCCTTTTTGTTTCTATTTTCTCTAAAACTTTATCATTGCTCGCATATTTGGCCCTTGCTTTCCCCAGCATCCTTCTGTAGAACCACATTTCTATTGCTTCAAGTTTCTTCTTCATCTGGGAGGAGATTGTCCAGCATTCACTGCAATATAGGAGGACTGATATTATGCAATAATTTCATACTTTGTCTTTGTTTCTAACAAAATTTTCCTGTTTCTTAATACTTTGCATTGCTTTTGGAAGGTATCTTTCGCTATCTCAATGCACATTCATACTTCAGTATTGCATTTTCCATCCTCTGTTAAAACACTTCCCAGATATATAAAATTTTTGTACTTGCTTGATTTTGTTGTCTCCAATTTGTAATTTGGACTAGACTGTTGGGTCAAACTTGTATTACTATTTATATTTAGTTTCATGAAGAGTTTGTGAAAATAGAGATATTTTTAAAATACATTTATTTGCAGTTATTAAAACTGCTTTCGACATTAAAAAAAATTGTCTGTTTGAAGAAAGTTGAAATAAAATATTTAAAATATTGTTTGTTTAAAGAAAGCTGAAATATAAATAAGCACACACGCAATCACAGGAAAGAGTGAGAGAGAGGAGTGGAAAGAGAGTGCACTTTTTTCTCCATTTCCTTCTCTCCCCCCACTTCCTACACGATAATAAATTTATATCTTTCTTTCACCACTCTCTACATATGACTTCTGGCAAACACACAAGCAACGTTCATTGACATTTATAGTAATAAAGATGTTGGGATGTTCCTTTTGCTAACAACCATGCATTCCATCTTCTTACAATTATGTTTAGACCTTCCTTCTTATTTTCCTCCACTACATTCTGTAGGAGTTCATATAGTTTCCTTTCTGTGTCTGCTATCAGCATTATGTCATCTGTATGTCTTCTGTTGTTAAGATTGTGGCTGGCAATAATAAATCCTTATAGGATGCTTATTCTCTCAGAATTACCTCACTGTATAGGTTGAATAAGTCAGGTAAGAAGACACATCCTTGTCTTGCATCCATTTCTATTTTTTTAATAAATTTTGCATTGGCCAAAAAGGTTTTTTTTAATTAACTCAGTTAAATTGCCATGATTTTATTTTTCTCTGTTTGATCAAAATTTGTTTGAACAAAATTCATATACAATAGAGCCAGAGTAATGAACAGGGTACATGAAAAATAAACACATTTCTACAATATTCTGCTTGATAGTGTATTTGTCTCAGAAAATGGATATCATCTTGCTTAGAATGAAGTCAAAGTAAGAGATAAAAAAATCCTCACTGATGTATGCAGAAAGTGAAATAAATTATTTACATAAGCCTAACAAAAAATAAAACTAACAGAAAATTCAACACTATATGTATCCCTATGGGTCTTTCATAACTGAAAAAGGCTACTGTCAATATTTCACATCTGTCCTAAAAAGATTGTTAAAAAAAAATGAAGATCATTAAAGATATGATTTTCAAATTACAGAATTGACAAATAAATAAAGCACTGATTTGAGTCCCTGACAGAAAAAAATTCAGACTATGCATGGAATCTATTATCAACCAGTGGTGTGTTGGTGACCATTTTCTATCAACTAGTGATGTGTTAGTGACCATTTGGTATTGACTGTTGGTATGTTGGTGATCATTTGGTATCATCCAGTGGTATGTTAGTGACCATTTGGTATTGACTGTTGGTGTGTTGGTGACCATTTGGTATTAACCAGTGGTGTGTTAGTGACCATTTGGTATTGACTGTTGGTGTGTTGGTGACCATTTGGTATTGACTGTTGGTGTGTTGGTGACCATTTGGTATCAACCAGTGATGTGTTAGTGACCATTTGGTATTGACTGTTGGTGTGTTGGTGACCATTTGGTATCAACCAGTGGTGTGTTAGTGACCATTTGGTATTGATTGTTGGTGTGTTGGTGACCATTTTGTATTGACCATTTGTGTGTTGGTGTCCATTTGGTATTGACCACTGTTTTTGACAATTTGCAATCTTGAGCAAATTCTTCCAGTTACAGCTTGAAATGGATTAACCCATTTATATGCATTTCAATTATTCATGTAATAAAGAAGTTGGTTAATAAACAGGGTTCCTGAATGGATTTTGTCTACATATACATGGTGCGATAGGTAAGTTGTCATCATTTTATATTATTAATTTCATGCATGTGCATTGTTTATTTCTGATTGTGTCAACTGCACAGTATAGCAGGACCAGCTGGACATCATCTATGAGAAAAAGAGCACCATGACACAATTCACTCCACCAGAAATTGGGAAACAGCATGCTATACTGCTTGGCATTTGTGTCAGAAGCTCCAATATGAACATTTCAGAGTGTTTGGGTGTCAATCTAAGGACCGTGCGGAGGATTCGGAAAGAGTTGGATGAGTCTAATGGTGATTATGAAGGTGTTTGGCGTGATCGCTAGTGATTGACTATGATCCCTCTAAGTCAATCAGGTCCATAGCCAGGGACACAGGAGTGTCTGAGTTTCTTATCAAGCAGGTAGTGCATGAAGACATTCAGTATTTCTCATACAAGATGAAAAAGAGCCAATTTTTATCCCAAGCCATGAAGGACAAGAGTAAAGATTACACTACAAAGCTTTTGAACTCAAACATTCCCTCCAACTGAACATGATTTGGTTTTTCACAGATAAGAAATTTTTAATGGTGAACACACAGAACAACTGTTGGCTTGTTGTGTCATCAAAAGATGTACTGAGAGTGATGAAAATCAAATATCCAGTCAATAGCATGATGTTTGGTGTGATCACTAGTGATGGCGACGTTATGCCTGCATTCATCAGGGTATCAGACTTAACATGGAGACCTACATCAAGTGCCTTGAGGACTGCTCTGTAATACTCTAGGTCAAGAAGGTGGAAGACCCTATGTCTAGCAAAAGAACTCTGCACCATGTCACACAAACAGGAGAACCCAGTGATGGCTGTCAGACAATTTCTGTGATCACATTACCCCTTATATCTGGCCACCTAACTCACCAGTCTGCAACACCCTTGATTATTATGTGTGAGGCACAGTTTAGCAAGAGACTAACAAAACTCCTTGTAACATCAAAGATGAACTAAAGGCAAGTATTATGGCAGCATTCACCAACTTAAACAAAGAGACCATCCAGAAGAGATGCAGGATATTCTGAAGTTGTCTGGATGCCATGGTGGAAGCCAATGGCAATTTATTGAATAAATTTAATCTTTAGTATTTCAAGATATTTTTGTGCAATATTGGTAAATATATCTGTTAAAATGAGATTACAGTATTATTTTTATTTTTGCATAATTTAAAAGACAATTTATTCATCGCACACTGTATACCACAAACACATCTACATATACATATATACATATATATATATATATTACACACACACACACACACGTGTGTATATATATATATATATATATATTACACACACGTATATATATATATATATATATATATACATGTGTGTGTGTAATATTACACACCCACATATATATATATACACACACACACATATATATATTATATGCACACAGACACAGCTATATATATATATATAAATATATAAAAACACATATATAGCACATACACACACACATACACATATCACACACACATCACAAATACACACACATGCATACATATATATCACACACACACATATATATTATGAAATGGATTAAATCCAACATATTTTAATTTGATTTGCTTAAACGTTATTTTAGATAGAATATTCAGGCAAGAAAATGTAATTAAATAAAAAACTGTTTAATTAAATAAACTGAGCAGTTACTCAAATATGAGTACCCATCTAAAATAACATTAAAGAAAACAATAAATACGTATATATAAAACACACACATATATATATATATCACACACAAATACACATATCTATATCTATCTATCTATCTATCTATCTATATATATTTGTATATTTAGGCAGCAATCCTTCCTTTATGCATGTTTCATTAAAAACGACAGACAAGGTACTACGGTTGAGCTTTTTATTTAATTTTTCTTGTGTTCTGACAAGAGCTTTCTTTTCTGGACAAAGAGTGTGTAAGAACTGTCCGAATGTTCTGTGTTTCCGAGCGCTTTTGGCTATACCTTTAGCCATTATCAAGGATGATTCAATTATCAGCTTAGTAGAGTGTGTGTGTTCTGTGTATGTTCAGTGTGTGGTAGTGATGTTTTTAGTTTCCGAATACGGGTTAGCACATTGTGGCTTTGTTCATAGTTAATATTGTTAAGGGTTTTTTTTTTTTTATTATTAGAGCTTCCATTATTTTTAGTCTTTTTTTTGCAAGTGGATGCAGTTAATATATTTGTGTTTTCTACTAGTATGTTCTGAATAGTGTCGGGTAAATCTGAGTGTGTGTTTAAATGTGTTCTGATGGAACTGTGATCAGATAGGTGTAATGTAAGACGTTTGGATAAACATGTGGTTGTGTAGCCGATGTAATTATTTATGAGTCCGGTTATCTATATATATATATATATATATCACACACATATATATCACACACATACACACACATATATACATACATATATAAGTAAATATTCTCAGGTAGAGTGTATCTGTAGAGGAGACAAAATGAATAAAAAGAGACAAAAGGAAAAACTATTCTTAGCCAACACATTTCATCCGCTGATGGAATTTGTCAATGTAAATGTAGGATGACATAAAGCATGTTGAGGAACAAAGATTCATTATTCAAAATCTGGCAAAAAGTAAAAAAAGCAAGTAATATTTTACAAGCTATGACTGACTTTTCAATCACCTGACAAACATTCATGAATTTTCTCAAATTTAAAAGCCTTGATAAAGTAATGTCATCTTTGCCTTTATATATAAACACGTGCAACAAAATAAATCATACATTGCATTAATAAAGTCTCTCAGATGGCGAAATTTACCATCGAAGAATAGTTTTTTCTCTTGTCACTTTTTATATATATTTATATATATATATATACATGATAGCTTACATTAATTCCACAACTCTGAGTTTCATGCCAAAGCAATTTTAAAGTGCTGGAAATATTATATTTATTTACATTTTATATATATATATATATATATATATATATATATATATATATATTTTCAGTACTTGAAAATTGCTTTGGCATGAAACTCAGAGTTGTTTAATTAATGTAAGATATTATGTATATTTTTAATATATATATTAAATTGCTCTGTTACTTAACATTGAGCACTGTTTTTTCTTATACTATAGAGCATTTATATGTATTTGTATACAATTGCTCGCATGTATACCTTCCTATACAGGTAAAAATCTATGGGTGAATAATCCAAGTGAATCCTAATAATATAAATATTAAAACTGATCCACAAAGAGAGCTCAATGTATTTATTACAGAGCATATATAAATCAATTATATATGAATGAAATTCAATACCCCATAGGATATGGGGTATTGAATTTCATTTATATATAATTGATTTATTCATATCCTAAAATAATAAAATGCTGAATGGAACACTGCCATGGTATCGACCACCAATGTCTCATCAGGTGGTTAGCTCAGGAAAATAATAATGGACAGCACAGTACACACTTAAATAAAAAATTTAATTTCTTTGGTTTTTTTTTACCACTACTCCCCCCTCCCTCATTACTTCTGGTGCTACATTAAGAAATTTAAGTTCTTGTGTTGTTTGTTAATATTTCACTGAGTTATCCACCTGATGAGACTTTGGCAGTTGAAACTGCAGTAGTGTTTCATTCAGCGTTTTATTATTTTAGGATATTAAATTGCTCTACAGGTTGGATTTTTCTAATTTGATACTGATCACTTTTTAACACATGATTTTAAACAACTATTTTAGTGTTTATTTAAAATCTTCATTCTATATATTTTTGTGATGTTAACAAACACTTGTTGCCACTTTTATAATGTCAACGAATACTCTTTGTCACTTTCATAATGTTTACTGTAGTAGAGACTTTGTAATTGCAGATACAACTATAGTAATGCTGTTGAACAATACTGCTGTCAGATGCCTTCAAATATCATTTGCACTAATAGTACTTGCTCGATAATACTCACTCGGATGTAACCACCGAATAGTGATCCGTAAAGAGAGATAGTATAGAAATAGTATAGAGAATAGCAATCCTTATAATAATAGAGGATATTGTAGAAATAGTGATCCTTTAGACACCATGCCATATATACATTACCTTTGCTATCACGTGATTTACTTATTCAAAATGGGATCACCTGTGTTTGCACTCTGGTGATCTGTGTTCAAACTCCAGTGTCAACAGCAACACTTTATTCCTGTATATATATATATATATATATATATATATATATATATAATTATTTATTTCAAAATGTGATTCCAACACGCTACATAAGAGTTCTCATGTTTCAAAACAAGAGCTGAAAACTTCAATATAATTATTTGAATTAAACTGAATTAAAGTAAGCTCTGTTCCATCTTCAAGTGAAATTTTTTTGGCATAACTTATTTCTAAAATTTACGTGTTTTAATAGCATATTCATTATTGAAATCAAAATTTCTATGGTAACAGCTAAAGCAATTGTTTAGATAAAAAGGGTGTAAGGTGTTAATAATTTGTATCAGTATAAAGTTACATTCACAGATGTCAAGTCAGGGTAAGGTTGGGGTGTCTAAATTTAAAACGGAAGATGATTTCGCCTAGTCTGGTTTACATGTCTATGGAGATTTATTTATTTTTTTCTTTTCTTTTTTTCTGAAAGGGCTTTGTGTATATAAAAACTGCCGTAACATTTATTTTTTGACGACTTCATAAAGAGTTAT